GCTTACTAGGTTATGATGTACAGACACTTTTAAGTGATTTCTTATAAATTAGTACACATTTCAGATGAGATGATGAAGAAGATGCCACTCACTGTTAAGGTAGATTGCCGTGGGAATAATGATGAGCGTGATGACTACAAGCGCCCCGCCCAGCGCCACGCACACCTTATTACAGCCCTACAGGTGAGGCCAAACACACTGCGCTTCACAGATCAGCTCAGGTCAAGGCATTGTCTTAAAACTAGCTTGAATTGCTCAAGGTATCACAGAAGCTGCGCTCAAACTGACACACCCAACTTTATTTTCTTTTTTTAACCCAAGTAACTTTTTAGTACAAAACAACCATCCTCAGGAAAACAACACGAAGCCTACTGACCATAATTACGCAGGAACTTCTAAAAAGCGCATCCAATCTCCAGGAGTCCACTGACGCCGGTCTGTCCTCAAACAGATCCTCAGTCACTTTTGTCCGCGTGAATGCTAGAGTTGAACAGACCACTGCGCTTTATTCCGTCCGACTGCAATGTTCCAGGTTAAAAATGTACTTCCTCCGATGCATCATTGAGTGTGGAGTGAAGGAATTGTGGCAAAACTTCCTCAGAGTCAGCATTCCGCGCAACTTCCCATCGGAGTGCGTTTAGTAGGCTATGTGCTTCCCTCAGTGAGCGCCTATAACTCTGTTCTGTTTCAGTTCAGCAGCTGTGACTGTCGAAGTAGCTCAACCGGTCTGCTTTGACTGGAAGAGATCAAATTAAGACAGACTTGCTTTCATTTCAGTGACTTGATTAGTCGCCTATAAAATTGGAGAGTGTTACATATTTGTAATTTTAAGTCATAAATTTTCTTTGGAAACTTTCTTACATAACTATGTCTATAGAGAAAAAAACAATCGCAGTGCTTTCTGATGTCTGAGTTTTGGATTGCACCGTACACTTTTCAGTTTAGAGCATCCATGCTTTTTTGGTAAATGGATTTATATCACAGTTTTCAAAATATGCATGCAAGTAGAACTTTGGAAATTTTCTGCAAATTGTTCAATATAATTAATTATAGGTGCAGCCATAACAACAAACACTGGATTATACTTTTACTGCATGTTCATTTAGTTACAATTAGTCAAAACTTTACACACGCTTCGGAAAACCTTGATTTATTTAGGTACAAAAATATTTGTAAATATAAATATTACATATGCATATTTACAATGTGCATAGTTATAATATTATATATATATATACACTATAAAATTAATATTAAATATTTAGTATTTTATATATATATATATATATATACTAAATATTTGTAAACAAATATTCTGTATTTTTACAATGTGTATAATAATTACATGATTATATATATATATATAT